GAGTATTATGATGCTGCTGATGCTGCTGCTGATGATGCTGCTGATCATGAAGATGCTGCTGCTGATGATGATGATGATGTTGATGATGATGAGGATGATGGTGCTGATGATGATGATGATGCTGATGATGATGATGATGCTGGTACAGATGCTGCTGATGATGATGCTGCTGCTGCTGATGATGATGATGATGATGCTGATGCTGATGCTGATGATGATGCTGATGCTGATGCTGATGCTGATAATGATGATGATGATGATGATGCTGATGCTGATGATGATGATGATGATGATGAGGATGAGGATGAGGATGAGGATGAGGATGAGGATGAGGATGATGATGAGGATGAGGATGATGATGATGATGACGACGACGACGACGACGATGATGATGATGATGATGATGATGATGCTGCTGATGATGATGATGATGATGATGATGATGATGATGATGATGATGATGATGATGATGATGATGATGATGATGATGATGATGATGATGATGATGATGATGTTGATGATGCAGATGAATGATGATGATGATGATGATGATGAGGAGGAGAGGAGGAGGAGATTTGATGAGAGGAGGCGGGGAGGAGGTGGAGGAAAAGGAGGGAGGAGGAGGAGAAGAAGATGTAGGGGAGAGAGGGAGAAGGAAGGATGAAGGAGAGGAGGAAGGGGAGGAGGAGGAGAAGGAGGAAGGAGAAGAGGGAGGAGGCGGGGGAGGCGGAGAGGAGGAGGGAGGAGGAGGAGGGAGGAGGAGGAGAGGAGGAGGAGGAGGAGGAGGAGGAGGGAGAGGAGGAGAGGAGGAGGAGGAGGAGGAGGAGGAGGAGGAGGAGGAGGAGGAGGAGGAGGAGGAGGGGGAGGACAAGGAGGGGGAGGGGTAGGGGGAGGAGGAGTTGGAGGAGGAGGAGGAGGAGGAGGAGCAGGAGGAGCAGGAGGAGCAGGAGGAGGAATTCTCAGGGACCTCACGATGTGTCCTGGCTGATCAGGAGGAGAAGGTAGAGGTTGCCAGCATGGGAGCGGGAGGGGCTGGATTCCACCGCCTCCCGCTCATCTCCTCTCGCCCATAAACGTACGCCCCTTCTTCGATGTACAGGAAGTCCCGATCAACCGCAGCACGGCCAGCTAGCACTTATCTTGATGATTCGTTCTGCCCTCGTGACTTTCGTCTTCCCTTGTCCTCCTGCTCCTGCCCCCCTTCCTTCTCTCCCTCTTCGGCTGAGCAATTCGGTAGCGTGAGCGCCAATCCGCACCGTGCAAGCACTTTTTTCGTCAGCGGCGGGGCGGCAAAACTCGCACCAGCGTAACAGCTAGGTAGGGGCACGAACTGGATGATGGCCTCCTCCTCCTCCTCCTCCTCCACCTCCATCGTCGTCAGCGTCAGCATCTGAGGAGTGTGAGGAGGTGTGAAGAGAAGGAGGAGGAGGAGGAGGAGGAGGAGGAGGAGGAGGAGGAGGAGGAGGAGGAGGAGGAGGAGGGGAGGAGGAGTGAGAGGAGGAGTGAGGAGGAGTGAGGAGGAGGAGGAGGAGGAGGAGGAGGAGGAGGAGGAGGCGGCCTGGGGGACGTGGTCCAACGGGGGCCCTGCCGGCCCGATCCGCCTGTGTCCAAGAGGCGTGAGCAGAGAGGAACCTACAGTCGGGGCGCTGAAGAAGGAACCTTTTTCATTGGGGAGGGGGGGCTCCGTGTTCCTTAATTGTTTCGCAGCTTGCCTTAGGTGTTCCTCAGGTTTTCGATATGAAATCGAAGTTTCACTTATGGAAAAGAGGGGCCTCGTTCCTTATTTGGGGTTCCTTAGGTCAACGCCCCGACTGTAGCGGGTTGGCCAGGAGTGCAAGGAGGGAGGGGGGAGGCCGAGAGGCCGGAGGGACGCTCAGACGCCGAAGACCTCGACGAGGGGCAGCCGGCGGGCAGAAGCAGCAGCCAGGCGCGCGGGGCCCAGGCGCGCGGGGGGCGGCCGAGGCGCACCGCGGCGACAAAAGGGGCGGCGGGGAGCGGCGGCCAGCCAGGGGCCGGGGGAGCAAAGGAGACACCGCGAGCATCGTACCTCGACCAGACGTGAGAGTGACCTTTCGCGGGAGGGACCTTTGGTGCGGGCGCAGACGGGCCCCCAGGTGGCTGGAGACGAAGCAGGAGCAGCGGCTTGCGCGCCCAGGTTTGGTCTCCCCGCGGCCCCCAAGAAGCCGCGCACCAAAGGTCACTCTTACCCAGGGCCACTCCTGCGTATAGCCGAGTATACCGCGGCGCCCCGAGGAGAACGCACAGCACCGAGCCGTGCGGGGGCGGGCGCGGCGAAGAGCAGGCAGTGACGAGGGGCACTGCCGCGTGAAAGCCCCTCCGGCCCGGCGGCCGGAGGGCGGGGTGGGGCGGGGGGCAGCGGGCCGAGCGCCCCATGGCGCCCACGAGCTGCGGGGCGGGCCGGCGGCGTGGGAGAGACGTGGGGCACACGGAAGCGGCGACGCGCCCGGCCCGGCAGGGAGGACAGTGGCCGCGCAGGGCGGCCATGCAGGAGCAACTGGGCAGAGAGGGAGGTGCAGGCGGCGGCGGGCGTAGCGTCCCGGTGGCCCGTTGACCGGTTCTCTCCTCTCTTTTGGGTGGGAGTGGGAGAGGGCGGAGGAGCAGGGCGCGGGCGAGAGGGGGGGGGAGAGGAAGGTGGGGGAGCGGGGGGAGGAAGGAGAGGGAGGCGAGGAGGTGGGCGAGGAGGGGGCGAGGAGGGGGGAGAGGAGGGGGAGAGAAAGGGGGGCGAGGAGGGGGGCGAGGAAGGGGGGCGAGGAGGGGGGAGAGGAAGGGAAGAGGAAGGGAAGGAGGGCGAGGAGAGGGGGACACAGAGAACAAGGAGGCAGATGGAGCCGTGAAGCGGAGGGATTAGGAGGGGCGGCGGACGAGGCGGAGGCGGAGGAGGGCGAGGACGAGGACGACGAAGAGGGGAGGACATCGAGAGCCTGACCATGAACGACATCAGGAGGATCAACCCCCACTGGAGGCCGAAGTGCACCCTCGGGACGGCCCGGAGGGCCGCCGTTTGCGAGGCCGGCCCGCTTACATCCTCTCCTCGTCGCTCGCTGGACCGCGGGTCGCCGACCGCGTGCGCGGCGCGGCGGCCGCGCCGTCGCGGGGACTCTGGGGCTGAACGCGGCGACGCGTAGTCAGAGGTCCCTGGGCCCAGACGTGTCCGCGTGGTGAAATGATTGCGACGGGCAGTTTGTGGCCCTCGCCAGGCACCGGGACCATCGAAAAACGGCTCGGGAGATGAGTACCAGTCTTGGGGGAAGGGCCAGGGCTTCGGGGACCCAGCAGTGACGAAATCGAGACATCGGATGTGTGGGGAGGTTTCCCTGAGGGTCCTGGAGCTTTTCGCCGGCTCCTGGGGTCCTTCCTGCTTCGAGATGCGTTCCGGCAGCCGCGCGCCTCGCCGAAAGCGTCGTCCCGAGCGGCCGCCGTAACCCGAAAGCCGAGCTGGAGTGACCCTGAGTTCTGTTGCATCTTCGGGGGACCTCGCCTGTCGCAAAAATTGGTGTCTTTTTGGGGGCCCGACGCGTGCTCGATGCGGGCTCGACGCGGATTTGGCGTGGATTCGACGCGGATTCGACACGGATTCGACACGGATCCGACGCGTCCGACATGGATTCGACACGGATTCGACGCGGACAGGGCCGCGACGGGGACAAGGCCCCCCGAGGATGCAACATAACCTGAGCGCGAGGCGCTTCCTGGATCCTCGGGGTGCCCAACCGAGGGGCACTCCTGCCCAGGGCTTCTGATGCTCCCACCTACTTTAGCCCTGATCGCCAGGAAAAAATATCGAGCGCCTCCAAAAGGACCGAAACTCCAGGGTTTTCACATGTCGGGCCCTGGGAGACAGTCGCCCGACACTGTTTGGACACTGTTTAGACACTCTTCGGACACTTTTCCGGGTGCTCGAAACTACTTCTGGGATGCGGTCCTGAAGCAGGACGGGAACAACATAACACCCAGGGCCGCTCCTACCAGTAGCCGATGTGCAACCCCCGAGCCTGAGCGCGCCGCCGCTGGCAACGCCCGCTGTGCAGGCGCGGCCGTCGCTTACCAGCCTGGAACATATGCCTATCCCTATGCTGGGCACCTCCTCATTACGATGCCAATCTTAGGGATTCCCTTATTTTTTGAAGGCGAATCCCTAAGATTGTCATTGCCTTTTGGCGTGTCAATCTTAGGGATGAGGATACGTTCGAGGCTGGTGAGTTGCCCCTGGCGGCGCGCCCTGCCGCCGCCGGCGGGCCGGCGGGCACGCCTCGTGTGGCGCCCTCGGGTCCCCCCGCGCGGGTCCCACCGCGCGGGCCCCCCCCCGCGGGGAGCTGGCCCCTCGGCGCGGAGCGCACGCGAGGCACGAGGCGCGCGACGGGCGGGGCCATCGCGGGCCTCTCGGGGGGTCGGCGCGCCCGCGCGCGGCGTGTCGGAGGCCGGGGGCCCGCTCCCCAGCGGCGGCGCACGCGCGCGTGTCCCCGTCCGTGCCCTCGCGGCCCGTGGCCTCTGGGGCGCACGCCCGGGGAGGCGCGGCCGCCCGCGTGCGCACAGTCACCCCGCGCAGCAAGGCTGCGCAGGAATCCAGGGGTGCCCCGGCGCCCTCCCCCCTCGGCCCAGCCTCAGGGGAACAGGAAGTGGCATATAGACATAAAGCCTCGGAGGTCCGCGCGGATTTCTCGGATCGGCGCTGGGGCCCCCCCGGGCGGCGCCTCGCGCCGCCCCTGGCGCGCTCCGCGCGCCAGGGAGGGGGGTCCAGCGCGGATCCGAGAAATCCGCGCGGACCTCTGACTTTTATATAATGTTCCCTACCTAGGCTCCGCCTAGAAGGGTTCTTACTCTCTTAGCTTAAAGGGGCCGGGCAGTGAAACACGCCCCGGGCGGTTCCCCCAGTCCCCTGGGAGCGGTTCCCCCCAGTCCCCTGAGAGCTTTAGCTGTAGCTTTAGCTTTAGCTTAGCTTTAGCTTAGCTTTAGCTCAGCTGTAGCTTAGCTTTAGCTTAGCGTTTCGCTTAGCTTTTCGCTTAGCGTTTAGCTTAGCTTTAGCTTAGCTTGAGCTTAGCTTTAGCTTAGCTTGAGCTTAGCTGTAGCTCAGCTTTAGCTCAGCTTTAGCTTAGCGTTACTGTTACTATTAATGCTGCTTTCCTAGGGGTTCCAACTCCTAGGTAGGGTCGCACTGGGATCATTTATGCAACCTTTTGTTCCCCTAACCCTTTGCCGCTTTCGCTGGCCGCGCCCCGCTCGCAGAGTGTCGACACGGCCTCCCGAGGCCCTTGCATCCTCATTGTGCGCCCTTCTTGCACGGGCTGGCTGTGCGTTCCGCGCAGGGCATCCGTGAACAAGCGACCGCATCCATGGGGTCGCGCCCCAGTGGCTGGCCCGTGAGGCCCGTGGACCCAGACCCCCTCGAGTAATGAAAAAATCACGAGGATTTTCCTAATTTTCGGCCTCTGGGGGCCCTCACCGGGCCTCGGGAGCGTCAAAAAACGACTCAGGACGAAAAACCGGTCCCGGGGAATGGGTCCGGACCTCTGGGGGTCGCGTCATGAAAAAATCATGACGTCGGGGGTCTGGGGAGATGGGTGCGGTTTCCACCCTCGCCTCACGGCAGTCTGGCCGGAGCCCATCGTGCCGTCGAGACGCTGGAGCGAGGCCGGGTATGGCCAGGAGCCCAGGCAAGGGGACCCGGTCAGCGGTGGGGCCCCGGAGCCTCTAGATTGGCCAGGATCGCGAAACCAGGCCTGCCGTAGCTGGTGTTTGCTCGGGTGACAGCCCTTCCGGTCAGTGGACCGGGGCAGGGGGGGGCGTCCCCCAGCACACATCACTGAACCAGGCCCCACTAGACTCAGGAGGGGAAAAAACACACAGACACAATTAATCGGCGATTCCCAGAAAATATGGGAAAATATGGGAAGTGGGTGGGAAAACAAAAACCCAGAAAATATAGGAAAATATTGGGGATATTTTTATTTGTGGTGTGTATTTATTTGTGTGTCCCAGTTCCCCTTCATAGGCCCAGTCCTGCCAACGCCCGACCAGGGCCCGCTCGGAGTCGGGCGGAGCTCTGGCCTGCGGGCCGCCCCTTCAGCCAGCACTCTGGGGGCAGCCAGGCGCTGAAGTGCGAAGAGGGGGACGAGGACCAGAGGGAGGAAGAGAAAAACGGACGGGCACTGCGAGACCTGGTCAGGCGCCGCGCACACCCGGCGCCGATGCCTATTCACGACCCAGACGTGGAATTCGGGCGCGGGAGCCCCCGGCAGCGTCGACCCGTCACCTGCCAGGCCGGCGCCTGCGGACGCGCCCTCGGATTTGCCGCAGGCGCCGCCTTTTGGTGAGTCCGAGGCGCCCCAAGAGCTTGTGCCGACGGATCTCCGGGCTCCCGCCGCGTCGAGCCTCTCTCCTCTCTCCTCCGGTCAGGGCTGCGACCCTTGAGATTGCCACTGAGTTCTCCCCATGTTGGTGTGCTTTATCTTCTCCGTCCGCGGTGCACGGGGTTATGGATGATACGTTTCGGGGGCATCCGTATCACATTTCTCCCCTTCCTTCTCCTCTTCATCACCCTCCTCCTCTTCCTCACCCTCCTCCTCCTCCTCCTCCTCCTCCTCCTCCTCCTCCTCCTCGTCTTCCCCCTCCATTTCGCTCGCGTCCCGACTCCAAGGCTATAGCTAGTTTTCACCTTTGTCGTTGCGGAGTTGCTACAACAATGACGCATCCAGCGGGCTCGATGAGAGAGTTTGTGTGCAGAGGACTTGTGCCAGGGTGTACGTAAGACGACCATGGGAGTTCTTCGCCCCCGGGTCACGCACTTACGTTTAAGGGGTCCTGTGCTGTTGTGTCTTCTTTGTTGAACGAAGAGGATAACGGATGGGTGCTGCAAGACCTGGTTAGGTCAGGTGCCGCGCACACCCGGCGCTGTGTTCATTATTGCGGGAGTTGGCCAGGTGTCGCGCACACCCGGGTGACATGGGTACCGCCCTGCTCGCTTCTTGTCCCGCCTTCTCCAAATTTTCCCGGGCCACCCGCCCTCATGATATTCTAGTGAAGTGGCCTCCGGCCAGTGCCGCCGATCTGGGGCGCTCCTGGGGCTCGTGGAAATGGGGGAATGCGGAAGTACAAGAGGAATCCTTGGGAGTCCTTGGCAATCTTGCGGGAATCTCGGGGAATCGTGAGAATCCGCCGAAATCCTAGAGAATTCGTTTCGGAGAATTTGGAGTATCCTGGGGAATCCTTGAAAACCCAGGGGGACCCTGGGGAGTCCTGATGTTGGCTCGTTGGGGGGTGGTGGTTGGGCGTTGGGTGGGTCGCAGCATGAATGCGTAGCACCCCGCAGCAGCGGATACGACTGAGGAGGGGGCCCTCTGGGAGGGGGTGCAGCTCCCCCCTGTGGGCTGGGCGACCGGCCCGGGGGCGGGGGGGCTCCGCCACGAGCGTGTTTCTTTATTGTTTTGGGCATGATGAGCATTATAGCCCCCTCCCCCCCCCTATAACGTAACGCCCCTCCCCCCCAGTGCCGCCGTGCGCATCGGACACACGGCGGGGGGGAGGCGTTACATTATACCCCGTCACCCCCCCCCCCCCTAATACTGCGAATGATCGCCGAGAGTAAAGGAACGCGCTGCGCTGTGGACGGGGAGGCGCGGACGCCCGGGTTGGGGGGGGGGGGGCGGCCCTCCCCCCTGTGGGCCGGGGGAGCCGGGGACGCCGCAGGGAGGGGGGAGGGGCTCTGTGCCCCCGGTTCTGGGGGGAGCCCTGGGACCGCCGCCTCTCCCACGTGAGACAGCTCTTCGGGCTGGGCAGTTCCAAGCGAATGTGCGTGTGTGTGTGTGTGTGTGTGTGTGTGTGGGTGTGTGTGTGTGTGTGTGTGTGTGTGTCTTGGGGTCCCTTCATATCAAGAGGCCAAGCCATTCCGCCGACCCCCAGAAGAGGCGGGAGGTCCGCGGGTGAGGCGTCTCGCGGGCTTCTGGGGCACCCTCTGGGGACTCCTGTGAGTGTCTCGGGAGCTGCTTGGGGTCCCGGTGGAGCCTCGTGGAGGCAGTCTTGAAACGTCCTGGGGGCCGTCTGGGGGCCTCTCGGGGGCTTCTCTGGGGGGTGCTGGGGGCCTCTTCTGGGCCGCTCGGGGGCTTCTCGGGGCCTTTGAGGGGGCCCCTTGGGGCGGAGAGATGGGATTTTCGGTTCGTGTTCCTCCTCTTGGCCTCTCGTGAGGCCTTCTTCGGGCGATCCTTGGCCGTATTGGGCCCCTCTTTTTGGGCCGTTCTGGAACCCCGTTGGGCCGTCCAGGGGCCCTCGTAGGGACTCTTGGGCAGTTCTGGGGCTGTCTGCGAAGCCTCTTGAGCCGTCTTGGAGCGTGGGAAGTTCGAGAAGGCGATAACCCTAGAAACACTGCAAAACCAATGGAAAACCATTGATGGTTGCCTCTCGGGGCCCTCTTGGGAGGGCTCTTGCGATTCTCTTGGGGCGTCTCGAAGGCGTCTCGAAGGCGTCTTGGAGCCCTCTTTGGCCAAGTGCTCGGGGAGTCGGGATCGTCTTGGAGCGTCGCTGGGGCCCCACGGAGTGCAGATGTGGAGGCTCCGGAGTCTCCCGGCCGTGCGCCAGGGAGCCCGGGCACCCACCACGGGAGCCCAGACCATTCCCCCGTACAGTCGGGGCGCTGAAGAAGGAGCACTTTTCGTTGGGGAGGGGCTCGGTGTCCCTTGATTGTTTTACAGTTTGCCTTATGCTTTCCTGAGATCTTCCATGGGGAGTCGAAGTTTAACTCTTGGGAAAAAGTGGCTTCGTTCCTTATTTAGGGTTCCTTAGGTCAACGCCCCGACTGTAAGAAAGATGCTGGACCCTGGGGGAGGGGGAAAGGGGGGGGGGGACAGCCACTCATCTCACGCGCCCTCCCAGCCCCAGCAAGCGGGGGTCGGCGGATTTCCCCTTCCTCCTCCACCTGATCTGCCGTGCCCGTCTCCTCTTCCTTCTCCCCCACTGTGCAACGACCCCCCGTCCCCGATTGCACAGCACACGAAGAGCCAAAGCCTACAATCGCCGTTCAGGGGTCCAGGGCCCTCCAGGACGCCTCGGTCGGCGAACAGACAAGGACCAGGCGCAACGTGAACGGATGGGCTTGGGATGGGGCAGGATCTTAGTGGGCCCCGGAAACGGCAGGGCCGTTTTTTCACCGCTCCCCAAAATTGTCCCTTGAAAATGTACACGGCAAGAAAAAGCAACCGGAAACGGCAACAAAACCGGCTCCAGAATTGGATCTGGAGCCGAAACCGGTCAAAAAACGGCGACGGAACCGGTGAAACAGCGGCGTCGGAACCGGCAAACAAACGGCAGAACGGAACCGGCCAAAACACGGCCTTGTCGTGTCCAGGGCCCACTGAAGGGCAGGATGTCAGATGTGGCCTCGGGGCGCCGTACGCCTCGCCGCGCCCGTGCCCCACAGTTTTTCGTTCGCGCAGGCACGCGCCGGGTGGGCCTGCACGTCCCCGGGCCCTCGGCATCTGCGTGCTGATCTGCAGCGGCGGCCCCCCCACTGCAGCATCTTTCGAGCGAGCCTCCGCCCGAGGGGGCGGCGCGCTCGCCGCACCGCCGGCCGCGCCCCCTCTGCGTCCGCAGGAGCGGTGCCCACGCCGGAGCGCTGGCGCGCTGGCCGTGTCTCGGGGTTTCCACGGTGGTTCCGTCCAATGGTTTCCTGCGTTCTCGGCTCTGCGGACGCTTGTTGTGGTTGATGGCGACACGGTGCCTGTGCCGTGGACGCCCTCGGCCGGAGGCCGAGAAAGTAGTAAGAGGTGTGCCCAAAAGGTGGGGAGCCCGAGACCCACGGAGCACAGGGCACATAGAAATTGTTCAGAGCACCCTCCAGAAGCCAGAGCTGGCAGACGGCATTGGATCGTGGACCATGGAGCGACGATCTCGACGCCGCCTCGGCTGTGCTTTCGCACAGAGAGCCGCCGCCCCACGGGGCGATGCCCTCGCCGCCGCCGACTGTGTCGACGGTGCCAATCTGGCGCGTGCCGCATCTCATGGCAGCCGGACCCGTTCGGGTGCCACGTGTTCTTCGACGTGCGGCTTTGCGAACATACAGTCGGGGCCCTGAAGAAGGAACCCTTTTCGTTGGGGAGGGGCTCCGCGTTCCTCAAGTGTTTCGCAGCTTGCCTCAGGCTTTCCTCATGTTTTCGATCGGAAATCGAAGTTGAACTTATGGAAAAAAGGGGCCTCGTTCCTTATTTTGGGTTCCTCAGGTCAACGCCCCGACTGTAGGGGTATCAATTTGGTGGTACGGGATGGGACGGAGCGTCAGGATGTGCCCATGTTGCCCCCCCACCCCCCTCTCCCCTCTCCCCTCTCCCCCTATCCCATCCGCCTCTCCACGTGTTCCTGCCCCTTCCCCACCCCATCCATGTTCCCTCTCTCGCCTCTCCTCCGTCCTTCCTTCTCCCCTTCGCCTCTCTTAATTACCCCCTTCCCTCGCCGCACCGAGTCTATCATCGCGAAGCTGGAGAGCAGCTACTTTGTCATGATCTTCAACCAGGTCAACGCGACCATGGCAGAGAGCCAGAAGATCCGGGACAGCTTCCCGATGTCGGTGGTCTGCCGGCGCCTGAAGAACGGCCTGCTCAGGATGCTCCTCCCGCTCCCTGCCCCCAAAGGGAGGGGGAGGAGGAGGAGGAGGAGGAGGAGGAGCATGACAGCCGTTCGAGACACCGTCCCCCGCCAGAAAGAGGACAAGAGGGAGGCCCAGCCCTCTTCCAGGAGGACGGGCCGGGTGAGGACAGGCCCGCCTCTCCGCTCCTCGCGCTCGCCGCGAAGGGGCGGCCCCGAAGGAGGCGGGCCCCAGATCCCGGGGGCAGGACCACCCTCTTTCCTCCCGAGGGCCGTTTCTGCGGCTGGCCTCGAGCCCCCGGGATGTGGCCCCAGAGGGCCGACGACGGCGCAACAGTGCCAGGGTCCAGCAGCCTTGTCTCGGCGTCACCCCACCATACTTCTACTATATTCACCACCTACCAAACCACCCCAACCCAACCCGAAGGCCTCAATTTGCCTTCCATTTCCAGTGTGGGGGGGTCGGGGAACATCGAAAAAACACGTATGGAACCCATACCCCCCCCTACCCGAAATTCGGGTCTTCGGGTTGGGTTGGGGTGGTCTGGTAGGTAGTCATATATGTGCGTCGCCCCCCCCCCCCCCCCCCGGGGGCGACGCGCGCACCGAGGAATCTTGTAGTAAATGCGTCGTGGCGGGCCCTTGCCGGCCACACCGCCCGGGAGACGATCTACTGCGAGATGGGTGTACTGTGTGCTCGGGTCGGACGCGCGCCTCCAAGGAGGACATACGGTACTAGTCTGTCCCTGTGCTCGGGGGCGGACAGGCCTCCTACCCTTCCACGTCGATTAAGGAAGTGGCCGTTTTCGGTCCGCGAGGGGGCGTCGCGGCCGTGATTCTGCGGGTCCAGGTCCGTCGGTCTCGGTCCCAGGCCGTTTTCACTGAGGGGAGGTTTCCTAAAGGGAAATGTTGTCCACCGCCGATGTGCGCCCCATTGTCCCTCGGAGCCCGCGCCCTTGGCGCCAACTCCCCCGAGCACTCCGTGCACGCGAGAGGGCATCGGGAGAGCCGTGGGGCCCTGCGCCGCGGAGGAACAGCAGGCGCCGGCCGCTCTCGCGGGCGCTCCGCTCGGCGACCGGGTCCGGGACAAGAGGGGGAGGACTCGGGAGCCCTGGGCCCTCCCTCCTCTCCCTCCTCCTCCTCCTCCTCCTCCTCCTCCTCCTCCTCATCCTCCTCCTCCTCCTCCTCCTCCTCCTCCTCCTCCTCCCCCTCCTCGGGTCGCCTACTGCCCCAGGGGAAGCCGTGCATGATACGGGGGTCGATGCAAACGGGGGTCAGCCAGAGCGCCTGATCTTGCAGGATCCTGCAGGGCCAGGGTCGCGCTGACCCGGGTCTGGGCGCAGGATCCTGCAGGATCTTGCAGGATCCTGCGCGTGGACTTGGGGCTTGGGTGCAGGATCTTGCAGGATCTTGCAGTATTCTGCAAGGCCTCTGGGACCACATTCGAGCCATCCTTTGTAATCGTGGGACTGTCTCAGGGCCTCTGGGATCCATCTGTGGGGCATCTTGGGGACATCCTGGGGGCCTTGTTGGGCCATCTGGCCGTATGAGGCTGACTTGACGGGCAGCCAGGACCTTGTCCCGGGGCGGCTATATTGGAGACATCTTGGGTTTGGGGGGGATCTCCGAGGCCTCCTGGACCCGATCGGAGGCCGCTGCAGCCCGTGTAGGGATCATTTTGAGCTGACAACCGTGTAATACAAGACACATTCAAACAACTGTAATGCTAGCAGCCTCTTTCGCTCTCTTGCGCTCTCCGCGAAGTCTTGCCAGGACCCCCAGTGACCTCTTTGGGCCTGTTCGCGTCAGTTTCACGCTTGGGGGGAATTGTTCCAGAGCAAGAGTTGCTTATCGGAGGCCTTCCCTGGGGCCAGCTTGTACAAAGCTTGAACTATTTCTCTACTACCTTGGGGAGATGGTGGGCTACTTTCGAAGGTGTCTGAGGAGCCAGAGGGTGAGTCGAGGAGCTCGTGCACCCCCCCTCCCCCGCTCCCCCGCCTGCCCCCCCCCCCCTCAGACGGAGTTTTGACCCCCCGGCGACGGCCACGCATCCCACGAAACCCCAAACGCCCTGAAAGCGGGGGTCGACACATTCGAGCTGATTCCAGTGAGGTGCAAATCACCATACCACTTGCACTCTTCAGAACCTTCAAGAAAAACAGCAACTTCCACGGACTCTATATTTCACTGGCACAATCAAGGATCTGGACTGGACCCCGGATGTGTTCTTGGAGTTGTTTTGTAGAACGCTTGTATGCCTGGACCTGAGCTAAGCTAGTGTTTAAGAAAACGCTTGGAGTGAAGTTCATTTCCCTAGTTCAGCAGACACGTAAGCAGTGGTGTAATGCGAACCCAAGAGTGATATATATATATATAGAGAGAGAGAGAGAGAGAGAGAATAACCCCCCTGTCCTCTCGTGGGGGAGGACAGCGCTCCCAGGAGCGAAAGATGTGTTTCTCCCCCCTCGTCATTGCGACCCCCCCAGCCGGCGTTTCAGTTCTTGTTGCCGGCTACGGCTCGCGTGAGGGACGCGGCTCGTGCGATCTTGTGCCGCTCGAGCATGTGTGGTTCTTGATTCCGGAAGTGTTTTTACAGTAGGTCTTGGAGCCAACGTGGCACGCTTGCGGCAAGCGGAAGTGGAGGAGGAGGAGGAGGAGGAGGAGGAGGAGGAGCAGTAGGCGAAGGCGGAGGAGGAGGAAGTGGAGGCGCGCGGCCACGTCCACCGATCGGCGCCTGGCTTCCGCCGCTCTCCCCCGTTGCCGAGGAAGGCCTTGAACGACGCGGAGGGTGGCCTGTGGAAGCCACTCGCGGAGAAGGTGGCCAGCGGTCGTCGTCTCTGTCCGACGTCGCCCTTCGTCGTCGTCGTCCGTGATCGTCGTCGTCGGTGTCCGTTGTCGTCGTCCGGTGACGGCGTCGTTTTCTCTTGTCGACCTCGTTAATTGTTGGTTGGTGTCGTCAGTCGTCGCCGACGTCGTCGCCGTCCGCCGTCAACGTTGCGGTCGTCCTTTGTCGTCGTCCTCTTCCTCTCCGTTGTCGTCGGTTGTCGTCGTCGTCACCGTCCGTCGACGTCCGTCGTCGTCGTCCGCAGTCTCCGTCCCCGACGTCGTCGTTAGTCATTGTCGCGGGCTGTCTTCGTCTGCAGTGGTCGTCCTCATCGTCCCACGCCGCCCTTCGTCGTCATCGTCGCTTGCCGTCGTCAGTCGTCGTCAGTCGTCGTCAGTCGTCGTCGTCGTCGTCGTCGTCGTCGTCGTCTTCCATCGTCGTCCGTCGGCCGTCGTCGCCGTCCTAAGTTGTGGTCGTCCGTCGTCGTCGTCGTCGTCGGGTGCCGTCGCCTCCCTCCTCCACAGCGATCGCGGGCCGAGCTGCGTGGGCGTCTCTGCTGTCGCGCCTGGGCCGCTGCAAGGCATCTCGAGACCTGTGGGCCTCCGGGGGCCTGCGCAGGTGTGCACAGGCTTCCAGCGACCCCTCCGAAGGTGGCGGCCGGGTCCTCCTCACTCTGGTCGGCCTTCGGGGTGCGCCCTCGTCGTTTGCGGCCGGGCCATGGGTCGGAAGTCCAGTGAGGGTGTCGGGTCCCATGCGTTCCCTCTGGTCTCACCCGCTCAATGTTCCAATGATCATGTGTCTTAGGATCCGGGTTTTGGCTTTGCCTGTTTTAAAAAAGAAAAAGCTTGTTTTTTTGTCTCTCCTGTTTCCTTCCATTGGGGCAGAACTCCTGGTTACATGTGTTTCTCGGAAATACTCGCTGTCTCCTTGGGCTTTGCCGCTGGGACCTCTCCCTTCTGCAATTTGCGGAGGGCCCTCGCACCATGCATTGCAGGATGGCTCAAACAACGATTCAACATATTCCTCGCCACTTTCGGCGCAGAGAAACCACACATGAGGCAAATGAGCGTGCCAAATCTTTGATGGTCTCCAATAGCATGTGTACTGTGCAGCTCACAACCATAACAAAAACCTGCTGACCCGCTGGAGAGAGAACGATATCCCTCATCAGACCAGGGAAGCAGGGCGTGTCAAGGAACCGCTCGATTTCTCTTCGAGGCGTCGACCTGCCACCCACCGAGCAACGCACCTTCGAGCTCACAAAACTGACTCGATGGTGCGCCGTGAGCTTGCAACACTTCTCCTGCTGCCTCTTTTGCTCAGCAAAGTCGCTGCTAGAGGGCTGAAACTGAACAATTCTGATAACATGTGTCACACCCTTTACTAAGTGCTTCCGGCTTGCAAATCCGATCGCCATGGACATTTTCTTTCTGCAGCTGTCTGCTACATGCGTTCTGAACTCGCTGGCAAGAACTTTGACCGTCTTGTCGGCTGCTGAGTTGGCGAAAACCGAGCTGGGTCAGCCTGCCGCTTGACGGCCACCTCAGCCGAAAGATCGCCCTCGATGTTCGATGTTTTAAACTCGGATTCCACGGTTCGGGTTCTCTGCAAGCATTGCGCTGAAACGTTTCCACACGTCGGAGTGGGTCTCGGGAAGTCGGCCTGGGCGTATCTTGTCGACGCCTCTCACAGTGTACTCAGACTATTTGAGATATATCCCATGTGCTAAAGGAAGGACAGTTGCTGCAAACTCCCAGTGGCGTGGACTCTCCACGATTCACTGTCTGAACCATCCTTGGCAGGTTTCCCCTTTGAATGCGCCGCACCAAGGCTGCCCCACGTCGTGGCCCCTTCCCTGCTGGAGGCCGCCGGGGGCAACAGACGGCCGAGCTGCTCGTCTGCAACAGGGGATCCTGGCCTGGCCCTCCGCCGGGCGCACCCCTGGCTCGTCGAACGCCTGGTGGTCTTGAGCGGCTGACAGCATAGCCGACGGCCTCCTCGGGCGGGTCGGGGAAACCCGGGGCCAGGACGGCGGGCGCTGGACCTCGAGGCCACCCTGCCGGGCAGAGAGTCGGCCCCCCTCTCTTTTGCCTCGGCAGTGCTCAGCTGGACACGGGACTGTGGCCCGACGGCCGACGCTCCTTGCGCAGGCTCGGCACCTGCGCTGGGTCCGTCTCTGGCGCACGGCCGCTCGTCGTGCCTCCCTGGAGGGGCACGGCCGAGACCTCGCGGCCTCCGCGCGGGGTGCGGAGCGCGCAGTGGTCGCCCCTTTCCGGTGGGCTCCTGCGGAGGAGGGGGAGGAGGAGGAGGAGGAGGAGGAGGAGGAGGAGGAGGAGGAGGAGGAGGAGGGGGAGGGAAGACACGCGGATCCAGCCGAGACCTCGGGGCTCCTTGGTGATGGTTTTCTTATTCATTGTTTTGCCGATCGGCGCGGGCCCTCGCACCCCCCCCATCCCACCTCCCCCCATGGAGTAGATCTTGGCTGTGTTTGGCGTCTGTCTCAAGCAGGTGGGGTCTCCCCCACATGACGTACTGCTGCAAACAGTGGCAGTAAGCAGAGGTCCAGAGCCAGACCCCCCCCACTTCCGCCCAATGTCGAAACGCCGAATCATGAGAACGTTCACTTGAGGGGCTACGAATTGCGGAACTTTCGCCGCTCTCGTGGGCTCCTGGGAGGCCCAGCGGAGTGGGAGGCCTCGCGGACTCAGCCCAGAGAGGGCGGATCCATGGGGGGCTGCGATCTGCACACTTGTCGCCGCTCTTCCGTGGGCTCCTGGAAGGTCAGCGGAGTGGAGGGCCAGGCGCATCCAGCCGCCGAGGCCTCGCTGCTCCCGGGCGGCTGTGAGGTGCGCACCGCGTGGGCTCCCGGGAGGTCCAGCCCAGCGGGGGGCCACGCGGACCCCGCCCAGACATGGCGATTCGGCTGCCGTGCGCAGCAGTCGCCACCTTCGTGGGCTCCTGGGAGGTCCAGCGGAGCATGGAGGGCCTCGCACCTTCCGCCGGGACCTGGCGGTTCCACAGTTGGCTGCGAAGTGCGCAATGGCTGCCACGTTCGTGGGCTCATGGGAGGTCCAGCGGAGTGGAGGGCCTCGCACCTTCCGCCGGGATCTGGCGCTTCCCCAGTGGGCTGCGGAGTGCGCAATGGCTGCCACGTTCGTGGGCTCACGGGAGGCGCGGCGGAGGAGAGGGCCGCGCAGATGCATGTTGCACCCGGCGACTCACCCGGGGCCACGAACTGCGCAACATTCGCTACTTTCGTGGGTTCCTAGGAGGCGAATTTAGTGCTAACATATATAGGATATTTTTATGTATGTTTTCATTTTTATTTGATTTGACACAAGCATGATGAGAAACGGCCGGGGAGGGGGATAGAGGCATGGCAGAGGTCCAGGCGGCCCATATCAATTTTCTGACCTCGCGGCTCCCTCTGGAGCTGCGGACTGCGCAAGGGTCGCCACTTTCGTGGGGTCTTGGGAGGCACCGCGAAGGTGAGGGCAGCGCAGATCGTGCATATCTGGCGATCCGTTCTTTTGTATGGAGCGTTCATACAATATTGGCCTCACGTGGAGAAGGGGTTGGCTACGTCTCGGGTTGTGTTGCTCCGCTCGGGTTTGCAAAACCGCGCTCTTTCTGGAGTCTCGGTTCTGGTCCGGTGCGGGCCACCTTCGCAGCCAAGATTTTCCAGAGTTCTCTCAGGACCATCACGAACCATTTGAGGGCCTCTCTGAAGCCCAACCTCGTCCTCCTGCGGCGGGCAGCCGGTCCAAGGCCTGGCTGCTCTGGATGGGTGGCCCTTCAAGGCATGGCTGCTCTGGATGGGGGGCCCTTGTCGTCGTGGCCGTATGGCTGGCAGGGGAAGGAATTAAGACGTGGAGCAGCAGGTGGAGAATGACGAGGACCAGGATAATCCCAGGCCGCATCAAGAATGCTGCAATTTCAGCCTCGTGTCCCACGTGCTCTTCTCTTGCGGTCAGGATTATGTTCTCTGTGTGTAGCGCCGTCTGTTCTGGCCCACCATGCTTCGGCGCGACACGTCAGTCACGCCCTGCTGAGGAGGAGGAGGAGGAGGAGGAGGAGGAGGAGGAGGAGGAGGAGGAGGAGGAGGAGGAGTCACGCCCTGCTGAGGAGGAGGAGGAGGAGGGAGGAGGAGGAGGAGGAGGAGGAGGAGGAGGAGGATAAGGAGGAGGAGGAGGAGGAGGAGGAGGAGGAGGAGGAGGGAGAGGAGGAGGAGGAGGAGGAGGAGCGGAGGAGGAGGAGGGGAGGAGGAGGAGGAGGAGGAGGAGGAGGAGGAGGAGGAGGAGGAGGAGGAGGAGGAGGAGCAGGAGGAATGAGGAGGAGAAGGAGGAGGAAAAGGAGGAAGAAGAGGAGGGCCGTCCGATCTTACGGAATCCGCACGTCCCAGCCCAAGGTGCAAGGAACATTACCGTCGGGGTGGGGACGTGGATTTCACGCTTTTCTTATGCGGTCCCAGCGGATCGAATATTCGGTCAAGCAGGACAGCCTACCGAAGAACCCTTTCGGAGGTGATTTGCCAATCGATGGTATGATATCAATCAGATGTGTTCAGATACGGATGATGAGAACCCCCTCGCAGCGGATGTGCCCAGAACCTTCCAGGGAGGGGACAGACACATGCACACATAATCGGTGATCCCCGAGGAGGAAAAAGGACAATGTGGCAAGGGGGGGGACGACGTCCCTGGGCCCTCTCGATCCCTCTGCGGGGATGAGGCGGAGGGCACCCGGAGATCCGATGTCGTGTTTTTTTCGATACGGGGTCCCCAGAAGTCTCGACCCACTCCCTGGGACAGGTTGTTCATCCTGATTCGCTTTTGACGGTTCCGGGGCCTGGCGAGGGCCCCTAGAGAGGCCGAAAATGGCGAAAAACCTCCGTCTCGATTTTTTACTGCGTGGGATCTCTGGATCTCTGGGGAGGAGCAGAAGCCCAGCCGCCCTGCCGGCCAGGTTGGCGGCTACTCCACGGTCGTCTTCGTGCCTGACGACAAGACCCTGAAGGACGCGAGCATGCAGAGCGCTTCCCTCGTCGCCCTACCTTCCCTCGCCGCGCTCGGCACCTTCGGCCCCCGCACTTGCCGGCCCAGGAGGGAGGAGGGAGGATCGGGACGCCCGACATGGGTACGGAAAGAATGGGTACAATGCCCAGCAGCAGTTCTTGTTCAATTTGAACAGCACGCCGCCGCGGCCTGTGTCAATTCGAGACAGGAGGCCGCCTGCCCAACAGCGGCCGCTGTTGGTTTGGGACAACATTTGCTGTTGGGCATTGTGCCCATTCTTTCCGTGCCCATCTCAGGCGTCCAAAGAGGAGGGAGGAGGGAGGAGGAGGAGGGAGGAGGGGGGAGGGGGAGGGGGGGGGGGGAGGGGGGGGGGGGAGGGGGGGAGGGGGGGGAGGAGGGGGGAGCGTCGAGGACGCCCTCTGGCTGCGCCGGGCTCCTGCCGAGGGGAGGCCCTATCGCGACGGGGCGGGCCCCCCGCGCCGCGCGGCGCCCCCCGCGACACCTCGGCGAGCCGGGGCCGGGCCCTTACGCGCCTCGGCGGCCGCCCGGCGCGGCGGCCCTCGGGCACCCCCTCCTCCTCCTCCTCCTCCTCCTCCTCCTCCTCCTCCTCCTCCTCCTCCTCCTCCTCCTCCTCCTCCTCCTCCTCCTCCTCCTCCTCCTCCTCCTCCTCCTCCCCTCGCGGGCGCTGGCGGCGCCGGCGGCGCTTGCCCTGCGGCCTGGAGGGGCCCCAGAGATCCGAAAACGACACGAAGATCGGGACAAAATCGGATCGGGATAACTCGAACTCTCTGAGAGTCGGCGGCTTTGGAGGATGTATTGGGCGCCGCGGCCGCTCTCAGAGCGTTCCGGGACGCTCTGAGAGCGCTCCGGAACGCTCTGGAGCGATTTATCCCGATCCTAGCCCTGTTTTACACTCGTGGGCGCCGGCGGCGCCGGCGGCGTCGGCGGCGCAGGCGGCGGCGTTGCCCTGCGACCAGGAGGGGCCCCAGAGATCCAACGCATGTTGAAAAAGTCAAGACGGAGGTTTTTTCGCAGCTTTCGGCCTCAATATATAGGGGCCCTCGCGCGACCGGTTGTTACTGTGGCCCGTTGTGTGTTAGTGTGGCCCGTTGGGTGTTAGTGTGGCCCGTCGCGCGGCGGGATGGGAGTTACTGTGGCCCGCGCAGGCCGCTCAATGAAAAGTAATATGTAAAGGTATCTCATGTTAGATCTGGAGAGATTCGCAACCCCTAAGGGAATGCACTCCCGCGCAGGCAAAAGTGGCCACAGTAACTCCCACCTGGAACCAACGTGGTAGTAGTGCTGTGTTAGTGGTGTGGTGGTCGCTGTGCTGTGTTAGTGGTGTGGTGTTGGTAATGTTGTGTTAGTGGTGTGGTGTTGGTAGTGGCTGGTTGTGCTGTATGCTGTGTTAGAAGTGTGGTGTTGGTAGTGGTGTGCTGTGTTAGTGGTGTGATGTTGGTAGTGTTGTGTTAGTGGTGTGGTGTTGGTAGTGTTGTTGAGTTGTTAGTAGGTAGTAGTGTTGTGGTAGTGGCAGTGGTGCTGTGGTAGTGGTGTTGTGGTAGCGGTGTTGTGGTGTTGTGGTTGTAGTATTGTGGTAGCGGTGTAGTGGTGTTGTGGTAGCGGTGTTGTGGTGTTGTGGTACTGGTATTGTGGTAGTAGTGCTGTAGTGTGGTAGTACACTGGTGCTGTAGTGTTGGTGTTAGGTAATATCGTTCATAAGGAGTACTAGTCCTACGGAGTACTAGCCGCAGGGAGTGCTAGCCCCAGGGAGTACCAGTCCTAGGAATTACTACCCCTAGGGCGTACTCGTCCAAGGGAGTACTCGTCCTAGGGAGTACTCGCACTACGGAGTACCAGCCCTAGGGAATACTAGTCCTAGGGAGTGCTAGTCCGAGGGAGTGCCAGGTAGTACTGGCGCTAGGGAGTGCTAGCCCTAGGAAGTACTGGCGCTAGGGAGTGCTAGCCCTAGGGTGTTAGGGACGACGAGAAGTAGTAGTAGTAGTAGTAGTAGTAGTAGTCGTCGTCGTCGTAGTCGTCGTCGTCGTCGTCGTCGTCGTCGTCGTCGTCGTCGTCGTCGTCGTAGTCGTCGTAGTCGTCGTCGTTCGTCGTCGTTAGTAGTAGTAGTAGTAGTAGTCGTAGTCGTAGTGTAGTCGTAGTCGTAGTCGTGGTGGTGGTGGTGGTGGTGGTGGTGGTGGTGGTGGTGGTGTGGTGGTGGTGGTGGTAGTAGTAGTAGTAGTGGTGGTGGTGGTGGTGTGTGGTGGTGGTGGTGGGTGGTGGTGGTGGTGGTGGTGGTGGGTGGTGGTGGTAGGTGGTAGTAGTAGTAGTAGTAGTAGTAGTAGTAGTAGTAATCGTCGTAGTCGTAGTAGTCGTAGTATTTCGGGAAGCCCAAGAGGCTCATCGGAGAGCCCAAGAGGCGCTTCGGATGCCCCAAGAAGCTCTTCGGAGGCCCCACGAGGCTCTCGGGAGAGCCCAAGCGGCTCTTAGGCGGCTGAAGAAGGTCTTCGGCGGCTCCAAGAGGCTCTTCGGAGAGCACCAGAGGCTCTTCCGAGAGGCTCTTCGGTGAAGGGGGGGGGGGCGGAGCTTTTTGTTGCCCCCCCCCCCCCTTCACCGTGCTCGATAATTAACACACTCCGGAGGACCCCAGGCCATACTAACACCCACCGGGCCGCAGTAACAACCAACGGGCCGCAGTAACACCTTATCTCGGCCCTCGCCGGGCCTCGGAAGCGTCAAAAAAGGACTCGGGATGAAAATCATGTCCCGGGGAATGGGTCAAGACTTCTGGGGACCCCGCATCGAAAAAATCACGACATCGGATCTCTGGGGCGCTTCGAGGCCGTGCCTGGGGATGGGGCGCCGACGGTGGGGTTTCGGCGACTAGTTTCAGGCGGTCGCAAGCATGGATCAAGGGGCGTGGACTGTAGCGACGGGTCCCGTTTCCATGGGAAATCGCGCATTTCCGTCGCCGAACGAGGCGGCACCAGCCGCATTTTGGGGAGGGCACCTCCCCGATCCATGGATTTGGCGACCGCGCGCCAACTCCATGCATCGCTAATCCATGTTTGCGCGGCTCCGATAATTAGTTGAAGAGGGTGTGGGTACGCCGGGGTGTGGTTTGCGATCGGCACCGTTGGGGCCTGGGGAGCACGAGACCGTCCTCGTCGGGCCTCCTCGGGGCGCTGCGGAGAGCTCTGTCGAGGTCCTCGCCCGCCCCCCAGGGTACTCCCCAGGGTGCCGTTTGCAGACCGCACCCGTTGCAAACCACACCCTTCGGAGTCGCCGACGGTTGGCGGAGACCTGGGCCAGAGCCGGCCTGAGGCATCGGGCCCATGTCGATCCGATCGATCTGCTTCCGACCTTCCAGCGATCCGATGGGGCCCTTGCGTGGCGCCGTTGTGCATCCTGGCGCTGCTGATCCGATTCGGTTCCGACCCCGAGCCGTGCCGATGCGGTCCGATCCGACGCACGTTGCGATGCGGTCGGGCTCTCCGATCTGATGCTGACTGGTCCTGCCACGGTGGCGCCGGGCACAGATATCGCAAAATGTCTTCGTTGTGCAAACCCGCGCACTGGTACCCGCGGGGGGGCATGAATCTCTCGCTACTGTCCGTGTGCTTGTCGGTCTTGCTCCCTCTCCGCGAGCCTCTCTCTGATTGCGCAGGACACGGTCAAGGCCTACAAGAAGGTGGTCAAGGAGTTCAAGCTGCACGATCGGTGCGCGGCGATGAACGAGTACAGGGACCGCGCGACGGGAGAAGGAGGATAACAATCCTGAGCAGAGGAGGGGGAGGAGGAGGAATTCAGGGTCACGAGGCAGGAACAGAATTGGTACGGCCAGAGAGCGGAAGGTCATGCCAGTGCAGGACAGGGCAGTACGACAGCGGGGCAAAGCGAGCGAGAGAAGGCTAGTGAATGTAGTTCAAGGCAGGGACGAGCGCGAGGACATGCAAGGCAGGGAAGCAGCACGACGGAACTGCTGGGTCAAGTTCCACAAGGCGAGACTAGTAGTTCCTACGTGAACAACTCTTCGAGGTTGGAATCCCATTGGCGTCACATACTTCCTCCCTTCGTGACACGCTTCGGGGGATCCAGGCCATTTGCGAGTAGTTACTTCGCGAGTCGTGGAACTCGCTCGTCGAAACATAGCCGCCGGACCGCCACACCAGCCCAGATCCTAAGAAAAGAAGTACGAGTCCCTAAGCGCAGGCACTGCTTGTGGAAGGCACACATGTGCACAGCTGCCTGGCAGCGGGGACACCTGTTGAAGCCAGCTGGGATCCTCTTCGGTGCCGCCGCTGTTGGGTGCAGGGCCCGAAAGGGGGGGCCCTCGTAGCCAGCGCTCGCGGTGAATGCCGCCAGCAGTTTTGGGATCGCGCGCGGGGGCCGAGGGCAGCCAGGGTGCAGGCCCAAAGGACGGACACCTGCGCCGCGCGGGGGTTCTGGGAAGCGGCCGAATCATGGAGGGCGACGAGACGTCGACGGACCACGGCGCTGCTCATGGCCAGGCCGAGCTTGGGCCGGCCAGGTATCTCATGCATCGTCTCGGGAGGCCCCCAAAGGCTCTTGGTTGGCAAAACCGTCTGCGCTTTCCCTGGTGCGCCCTTCCCTTTCGTAGAATTGCGATTGCGGCGGCGACGACGGCGGCGGCGGCGGCGGAATCATTGTTTGCCGCTTGCGACTGGGCGTCGGCAGTCTTCAATGAGGCCCTGAACTAATAATCATCTACTCTTTCTTTTGGGGCGGCCATTTCAGACCAAATCGCTGCTGCGCCCTTCTGGCGGGGCCGGAGCGTCATATGGACCCAGGCCCCCGACGTCTTTTTGTTGCTTTTTTCCACGGCGCGTCCCCCAGTGGTCTGGGCCCCTTCCCCGGGACCGGCTTTTCATCCCGCGTTGTTTCGTTGACGGCCGCGAGGCCCAGCGAGGGCCCCCGGAGGACGACGGTTTTCATCCCGCGTTGTTTTTGGACGGCCCTGAGGCCCAGCGAGGGCCACTGGAGGACGACGACTGCCAAAAACCTCCCGCCGTGATCTCTTCGTGTCTCGAGGGGGGTCTAGGATCTAGGCTTTTAAGTCGGGCGTGTCCCTCTACAGAAGGAAATTCCAAAAATAGACAAGAAATCGTACGGGGACGATTTTTCCATGATCCTCCTCCTCCTCCTCCTCCTCCTCCTCCTCCTCCTCCTCTCTTCCGGCCCAGTGCCGCCCCCAGGACTCCGCCCCCAGGGTACGTCTACTCTTCTTGCCGCCGTCGCTGTCGGCCTCGCAGCTCGCTTCGAGCGCTTCTCCCCCCCCCCCCCTGCTGGTCGAGGACTTCCTGCAGCCCTTCTGCGTCGGCGGCATCATCCGCGACGAGTGGGAGCTGATCCCGGGCGAGGACTTGCGCGCACCGCCCGCCGCGCCGTTTGCGTGGCCTGCCCGCCCTGGGTGGGCGCGCCGAGCGTTCGCCGCCCGCCTCGGCGCGGGACGCCCTGTGGGACGACTATGACCAGCTCCTGCTCCTGCTCTTGCTTCTGCTGCTCCTGCTCCTCCTCCTCCCTCCTCCTCCTCCTCCTCCTCCTCCCTCCTCCTCCTCCTCCTCCTCCTCCTCCTCCTCCTCCTCTCCTCCTCCTCCTCCTCCTCCTCCTCCTCCTCCTCCTCTCCTCCTCCTCCTCCTCCTCCTCCTTCTCCTCCTCCTCCTCCTCCTCCTCCTCCTCCCCCTCCCCCGTTCGGGTCAAACAAAAATCACGGCCCGGGGACCGTCAGCCTTCAAAAACGACTCGGGATGAGGTCCCGGCCCTGGGTCGAAGGCCGAAATTTCTGGGGGACGCGTGTGGAACAAGTCAGGGCGTCGAGTGTCCGGGGAGGGGGCCGGAGCCTGAGGTTTGTCGCCGTTCTTGGCCTCCGTGGGCCCTCCTCGGGCTCCGCTGTTGTCGACCGCCCAGTAGTGAAGGTTTCCCATCTTTGTGTGGCCACCCCTGGCATTCCTGCGCAGTTGCAGATCGATGATTCGTCGATGCCCAGACTATATGGTGGAAATGTGGGAAGTGGGGGGGGAGGCGAGAAACTAGAAGATGTGTGGGAGAAACTGGGGGGGGCTCCTGGGATCTGCGTGTGTCTTGGCTCGCGTGTCCCTGGGCCCCTCCCTCGAAGTTTGCCCCGCGCAAAAAAGAATAACAAGGTGGGCGGCGTGCCCCCTCCCGGCCCCGCGCCTGGCCCCCCGCGGGCGTGGGGGCCGACGTGCGGCCCCTCCCTCGCCGCGCCCGGTCTCGGGGGCACGCGCAGCGCCGATGCGAAGGAGCAGGGGAGTGGCGAGGCGTCCTGGAGGGTCGGAAAATCAAGGCATCGCATGTCTGTGGCCAGAGGGGGAGGGCTGCTTCTCGAATGCGAGATCACGGTATAAACATGAGCTTTCGTATCTCCGCGCTGAGTTCTCTGATCGGCGCCGTGCCCCTCTAGCGCCGCCTCTGGCACCCTTGGCGCGCTCCGCGCGCCAGGGAGGCGGGGGGGTGCGCCGATCCGAGGCATCCGTGGCTCGCCGATAGCCCTACCAAACCATGTTAAAAGAACCTTTGGTGGCTTCCACGCGCTGTTCTTGGAACGTCTCTGGCGGAGTCTGTGCTGTTTTGTCACGTCGGGCTCACGTGATGAGAACATGGCTTTTGTTCTGAGTACATCTTTGGATTCGAGGAACATGTCGTGGTAGGCCTATGGGAATGCATGGACGGTCGGCCCCTGCTCCAAGGGAGGGGGGGCCGCCTCCCGCCCCCCCCTCTCCCGGCGCAGGAGCCCCCCCGCACGGCTGCCCCGACGCACCCGTCTTCAAGCGCAGCGCGCACCACCGCCTTCAACAAATCGCACGCGTATATATATATATATATATATATTATATATATATATATATATAGCACGCCGCGCGCCGGCAGGGCACGTGCCGGCCCACGCCTCGGCGAACGCGCCGCGCCCAGGTGTGCGTTTTCGGCCTGCGTGCTCTGAGCTCCGTGTCCGCACGCTGCGGGCTGCGTGCTGCGCATCGGGGCGGCTGAGAGTCCCAGGCAATTATGCGGATTCGTTAGAACCCCCTTCTTGGCCGTCTCCCTCCCACTCGTCCGCCCCGACAGGGGAGGGCCCCCGCCCGCCCCCCCCCCCGCGGAGAAAATCCCCGACCTGGAGAACTTCCAGACCAAGACGGATTTGATCTGCAGCATCGCTCGCGGCGTCAAGATGGCGAGCCCCCTCGCGCGCCGCCTCGCCGCCTCGCTGCTGTCTTGGCAGTTTGGTTTGTTGTGTTGTGGTGTGGTTCTTGCCTGCTTGGTTTTGGTTGTGCGCGTCCGTGTGCTTACTAAAGTAGTCACACGCATGAGACGCAAGCCATCAAATCCACCGCCTGGAGACCAAGGTCTGAGGGTGACGGTCAGACAGGAACTGACGGGGATGGGCTGGGTGACGAGGAGGACAGGCAGGGGCAGGAGCAATGGCAGGGTTGGGGGTGGCGGAGCAATGGTGGGAAGAGGCGCAGAGAAGGCACATGCGGTGTAAAGGAGGAGGGATACGTGGAGAAGGAGGAGGAGGGTCCGGAGTTGGAGGAGATGACATGAAGGAGAAGGAGGATAAGGAGAAATGGTGAAGTACGGGCAGCAGGAGGAGGAGTAGGAGATGAGTAACATGAGGAGGACGAGGAAGGGCAGTGGGATGATTATGTGGGGAATGACAGGAGGATGATGTGGATGAGGAGGCTTGTGCCGAAGTGTACTATGGCGTGGATAACGGGAGGAGGCCTCGCATTACGTTGCCAAGTGCGTATGCGTTTCGGTGCGAGGCCCATGTGGTACCAGCGCGCTGGCTTCAACTTACCAGCGAGGGCTACGAGAGAATCCGAGGCAGAGACCAAAGGCGCTGCCACCGCAGCAGCCGACACCTCGGGCAAGCAAAACTTGGACCTCATGGGCGGACCTTCCGGGCCACCACCGCAGCACCCACCACCCACGGCAACTGAGTCGGGCCCTCGCGGGCCATGATCCCATGAGGGGAGACCCCACGGGCGAGACCCCACATGCGACCACCAATCTGACCGGACCCCACAAGAGGCATTTGCCAGCTATGTCTGATGACCGCCATGGTCGGGAGCCTACTGACGACACGTGAGCTGCACCTGACAAGCAGCCATCAGCCAACCTTCGCGACCACATGGGAGGGCATTCACCAGCCGACCGCCGCGAGAACCAGCTGCCATGCTGGAAGTGAACCATCCTGGAGCGGGCACGAGGGCAGGGGCCTCGGAAAGCAGGAAGGTTGCATGCGGCAGTCCGCGAGTCGAAGGGGGGCGGCCCCTTACCAGAATCCCATAAGCCTATGCCTATCAGACAGATCTTGACTCGGGGGCGGACAGACCTCCTACCCTGACACGCCGATTCAGGAATCGGCCGTTTTCGGCTCGCGAGAGGGCGTCGCGGCCGTCATGTGTTGGTCCAGGTCCGTCGGTTTCGGTCCCAGGCCGTTGTCACTAAGGGGAGGTTTACTAAAGGGAGGTTTGTCCACCGCCGATTGACATTCGTCCACGTGTCAACGTGCCAGGGGGCACGTTGGCGGATGACGAAGTTTCCCGCGGATCATCTGAACCCCTCTCACAAACACTCACGTGGCTAAGTTGGTGCGCATCTGTGTTGGTGGTGGCTCGCCTATGCATTGGCACGTGTGCGGTCGTGCAGTTGGCAGGCGACACATCTTCAGCATGCGATAAGTGTTTCTCGGCCCAGACTTGTTGCCGTGTACCACTAGTGCACATCACACACACCTCTAGGCTGCTTTACATGTCCTCTCCCGTACCCTCTACCATGCCTGGCTCCACTCACCCTTCCCCTTTGACATCACCTCTCTTTGACCTCCTCCTGTTCCCCAGCGCCTCCTTCTAAGTTTCTCCTGCACCTCGTCCCTCCTCGTGCCCGGCTCGGCCCCCATTCTCTCTCCTCCCGAGGTCACGCAGAAGATCGCCGTTGGTGTCAAGCAGGTTCCGTCGAAGCTGGCAGTTGGCACGAAGAAGGTCGTGGAGAAGATGGAGGAGGGCGGCAAGGACTCGGTGGCCGACGTCGTGGCATAGGCCGTTCTGCTCTCTGATCCGTGCGGGGAGGGAGGATGAGGGTCAGAGGAGGAAGAGGTACCGATACCGCTACCCTTCCCTCGTGTTCGCCGTTTCGGGCCTCCTAGGAGGCCCTCGGCGCCACCGCTGCATGTGCTTCCACATCCTGGTCAGAAGGCGCCCCAGGAGGGATCTGAGGCGTGGCCGTATCAGTTCCTTTCTTTCCCCAGAGGGAGGGAGGGAGGGAGCAGGACGAGGAGGTCGCAGAAAGGAGGAGGGGAGGGATCAGGTGAAGAAAGGGGGGAGGAAGGAGGAGGAAGGAGGGATGCGGGAGGATAGCACGCCCACCCCGTCGGCCCGGCGGCAGACAAGGGTCAGGAGGGGAAAAAACACAGACACAAGCAATCGTCCACTCTCAGGAAACGATGGGCAACTATGGGAAGTGGGGGGAAGACAAGAACCATGAAAATATGGGAAAATATGGGGAGTCCTTTTGTTTGTGTGTATTTATTTGTGTGTCCCAGGGCCCCTTCAAAGGGAGAGGACATGCGCAGGAGGGGCAGGATCAGGATCCGGGTCGCCATCTATTTATACCCATCTAGGTGGCAGGCCGCTTGCCCTTATCTGATCACAGCCCTCCCCTCGTCTCTTTGTTGCCCCTCCCAACGGCCACCTTCAAGACCAGGCTCTCAGCGTGCTGCTACAATTCTTGGGTCTTCAGCTCCCACTGCTTCTGAGACGTTTTTTTTGAAGTCCTCCCCGTCGTTCTGGAGCTGGTGGCCCAGAGGTTCCACACTGGCTGCACTCTCGGTGGCCCTCTGCTCCGGCTGCGCGTGGAGCTGCTCCAGCAACTCCAGCAACTCCATCTCCTGTCTGTGCCGCTGCAGCTTCTTGGCATCGCTCGGCCGTGCGCATCTGTTTGGCGATGCCAACGCCAGACATTCTTGAACATCTTGACTCGTGTTGAGTAACACCGCTCGCGAGACCAAACAATGCACTGGGATTGGTTGTCCGAGCGATGGCAAGGCTGCTCGTCCAGCTTCGCTTGCTTCTGTAGGAACTGCATTTTGGGGGAAGACGCTGGACGCGATTCCCGGTCGCGGGGAGCGCCTTGTCCACAGCTCCCACTTGGCTGCCAAGCGATCACTGAGACTAGAAGAACCCCTAACCCGAATAACACGGTGAAGACGTGGCCACACTCTGGACCCCCTTTTGCATCAGTGGTAGTCAGTGGTGGCAGCCTGGCTTGGAACATCTGCAGGAAAGCTCCCCTGGGCCTTCTGGCCCCCCCACAAGGGTTAGGGGTACCCTGATGGCTCATCAGGCGAGGAGGGAACGGCTGTCCTCCCCCGGCCCTCAACCCCCAGAGCTCCAGTTCCAAGCGCCTCGCCAGTGACAGCGGCGCTGGGTTGCTGAGGCTCCAGGCGGCACGCGGCGCTGGGGGATGGCAGCGCTTGGGGTGGAACTGCGCCTGGAGGCGGCGATGCCGTTCCAGAGGACATTCAGCAGAATCCCTCCCCGAATTCCAACAAGCACAACGCATTCTCGTGGCCGTACTGAGGTCCTCGGTGTTTGGAGCGTCTCCCTGCACATGTGGGCTGCGTCGCCTGGGACATCTGCAACACAGACCCTCCTATCCCGGACGTTTTGGGCCCTCCAAAACTGCGGGCCCTCCCCGGAGGAGGGGCCTTCTTCGTGTCTGGAGGCGCCGGCGGCCGCGCCATGCCCACGGCCGCCCAAGGCCTCGGCCTCGGGGCCGCCGCGCATTCCCGCCGCCTCTCGGCGCGGGGGTCCTGCGGCAGTGTGTGGCCTCCTTGCTCCTCGCCTCTGCTCCTTCCTGTCCCGCCATCGCTCCTTGTTCTGGACGCCCGAGATGAGCACAGAAAGAATGGGTACGATGCCCAACAGCAGTCCCTGTTCATTTTGAACAGGGTTCGCTGTCCACGCCGCCGCGGCCTGTGTCCATTCGAGACAGAAGACCGCCTGCCCAACAGCGGCCGCTGCTGGTTTGGGACAACATTTTCGGGGGCGGACAGAACCCCCAACAGTGACACGTCGAGTAGTGAATTGTCCGTTTTGGGTTCTCGAGAGGGCGCCGCGGCCGTTATTTTCCAGGCTTGCGCCCGCCAGGTTTGGGCCCGAGGTCGTTTTCACTAAACCACGTTTTACTAAAGGGAGGTCTGTCCATCCCCGACATTTGTTGTTGGGCATTGCACCCACTGCTTCCGTACCCATTTCGGGCGCCCAGACCTGTGCTCCTGCTGTGCCTCGCTTCGCCTCCGGTGCGTTCCACCGCTCGCCTTGGCCGGCGCCTGGCCGTGCTGCACCACACGGCGCCCGCAGAGGGAATCTCGGGGGCGGAAAAGAGGGGGGTGATGACTGGGGGGGGGGGGTGGATACCATGGCGGGGGCCATGATATTCCCCAGATTTCAGGGCGCCTCTTCTTGTTTCATTACGTCCCTGGCCCCCCCCGCTGGGCCGCGCACATGCCGCCGGTCATGATTTGTCCCCCCCCCCCTTCTTGGACACCCCCCTCTTGGCCGCTCCCGAGAATCACGTGTCTCGCCTCTCTGGCCAAGCCCGGCCAGCCTGCTCCCCGGGGGGAAGCCTCGGCGCCTCGCGCCGCGAGAGGTGGCCACCACTCGCGCTGCGGAGGGCGGCCGTTTTGTTCCGACGCGCGGAAGGCGCTGACGGGTGTATATGTGCACATGTGCACACACTAATCTAGGTGTGTATATATACATACATACATACATACATACATACATCTATACATACATACATACATACATACATACATACATACATACATACATACATACATACATACATACATACATACATACATACATACATACATGTATGTATACATATATAATATAAACAAATAGGCCCCCCCCCCCCGGCGGGGCCGCCCACTCCGCAACCATCGGGGAACGCTTTTTAATACCCCCTCCCCGGGGCCTCCAAGGAGCCTCCAAGGAGCCTCCAGACGACCCAAGAGGCCTCCAAGACGGCCCCAGGAGGCCCCCAGGATGGTCCAAGAGGGCCCCGAGGCGGTCCCAGATCGCTCCAAGACGCCCAAGATGGTCCCAAGACGGCCCAAGGGGCCTCCAAGACGCCCCAAGAGGCCTCCAAGAGGCTCTCCAAGAGGGCCCCAAGAGGCTCGAATCGTTGATTTTCCATTGTGTTTTTCGATGTTTTTGGCTTTCTCTCCTTTTGGGCTCCCTGGCGTTCCAAGACGGCCAAGAGGCACCCAAGATCGCCCCAAGACGGCCCAAGAGGCCACCAAGACGGCCCCAAGACGGCCCAAGAGCGCCCCGGGACCGCTTAAGAGGCCTCGAAGACGGCCCAAGAGAGTCCCAACACGGCTCCAAGAAGGGGCCCAGACGCGGGATCCGAGCGCACTTTACGGGCCCTCGGCCCCAAGAGCATCCCCAGAAACCACTAGAGGCTCCCAAAGGCCCCCAAGAGCCCCCCGGGAGGCCCCCAAGAGCCCCCGAGCAGGCACCGAAACGAGCCCCATGCGATTTCGGACACTTTCATATGCACCCCTTCTTTCTTCCGATCCGTTCCGTTGAGCTGCCTGCATTGAGTAGCCTCCGCAACCATCGGGGAACGCTTTTTAATACCCCCTCCCCGGGGCCTCCAAGGAGCCTCCAAGGAGCCTCCAGACGACCCAAGAGGCCTCCAAGACGGCCCCAGGAGGCCCCCAGGATGGTCCAAGAGGGCCCCGAGGCGGTCCCAGATCGCTCCAAGACGCCCAAGATGGTCCCAAGACGGCCCAAGGGGCCTCCAAGACGCCCCAAGAGGCCTCCAAGAGGCTCTCCAAGAGGGCCCCAAGAGGCTCGAATCGTTGATTTTCCATTGTGTTTTTCGATGTTTTTGGCTTTCTCTCCTTTTGGGCTCCCTGGCGCTCCAAGACGGCCAAGAGGCACCCAAGATCGCCCCAAGACGGCCCAAGAGGCCACCAAGACGGCCCCAAGACGGCCCAAGAGCGCCCCGGGACCGCTTAAGAGGCCTCGAAGACGGCCCAAGAGAGTCCCAACACGGCTCCAAGAAGGGGCCCAGACGCGGGATCCGAGCGCACTTTACGGGCCCTCGGCCCCAAGAGCATCCCCAGAAACCACTAGAGGCTCCCAAAGGCCCCCAAGAGCCCCCCGGGAGGCCCCCAAGAGCCCCCGAGCAGGCACCGAAACGAGCCCCATGCGATTTCGGACACTTTCATATGCACCCCTTCTTCCTTCCGATCCGTTCCGTTGAGCTGCCTGCATTGAGTAGCCTCCGCAACCATCGGGGAACGCTTTTTAATACCCCCTCCCCGGGGCCTCCAAGGAGCCTCCAAGGAGCCTCCAGACGACCCAAGAGGCCTCCAAGACGGCCCAGGCGGCGGAGGTTCCCTCCGCTGGGCAGCGGCCGGCGACGACGTCAACATGGCATGAGAGCGGCCCCGGCGGGGTCCGCCTCGAGACCGGGGGCAGTCCCTTCCTCGTCGAGAGACCGGCAGCCTCTCGGCGACGCGCAAGGGAGCCCGTTCGTCGTCGTCTTCGTCGTCGTCGTCGCCGCCGTCGCCGCTGGCGTCGTCGTCGTCGTCGTCGTCATCGTCTTCGTCGTCGTCGTCATCGTCGCCGTCGTCGTCGTCGTCGTCGTCGCCGTCGCCATCGCAGTCGCTGTCGTCGTCGGTTCGAGGACCAGGTCTCTGTCCTCATTGCCGTGCGCGGCCATCATGTCAATAGCGATCCCAGGTTTCATTCCCTGCGTCGCCGGCGCAGGGAGCCCCAAGACGGTCCCCCAAAGGACGCTCCCAAGAAGCCCCCAGCAACTCCCGCGGCACCCAAGAGACGCCGAGAGGCCCCCAAGAGGCCTTGCAGAGACTTCAAGAGACCATTGGGAATCACGTCCTGAGAGGCCTCCAAGACGCCCCTACTTCACGATCCATGTCAGGGGTGTGCCGACATGGGCGGGGCGGCAGGATGCGACCCTTGTTTCCGGGGCCGTCGGAACAGCTTCCTTCGGGGCA